TCCTGCTGCGAATTTTTAAAGAAGAAGCTATCCTTAATTTCAACCATTGCTCAGGTTTGTTCGGTTGATAGTTTATTTAGGGCATGTATATTCCTTGTAATTTTTACCAATCATTTGTATTACTGAAAGCCCTGGAAAACTGCTGTTATCTTTAAAATTGGGCCACCTGTCAGACACTTAAGCATGAAAAGGAAGGGGCTACCAGACTGCAGGGGAGTTCAGGACATTCGCTAAAACTCAGGCTGGCTGCTCTTGTGCCAGCAACTGCTCTTCCTCCGCAGCTTTAGTCCTTTTGACAGCATAAGCTATTAATTCTTTATAGATCCCCTCTGCGCCCCCCCCCCTTTTTTTTCTTCTTTTGTTTTCTAAGTGATTTCTCAGCAGGTACACCCCCAGGTGTCTACCTTGCTCCCCTTGACTGACATTTCTGTAGCAGATGGTGCAAATAAGCTGCCGTGTGTGGTGTTTTCCAGATCAATATAAGTAACTGCTACATACAGCTGTGCTCCTTAGTATTTTGTCTGATGGCACCTGCAGAAGGATTAAAGAGCATGCCATCAGCTGCTAAATTTTCGTACAATAGAAGTGTCACTTTGTGTTTGCTTGTATCACAGGTTTGGGCAGGAGAGTAGTGTCAAGTGGGCTTACGTATTTTCTGTCTTCAGTTTCTGCAGAGCAAGAACCGCGCAAAGACCAAATCAATGTGGTAATTGTGGACAGTAAGCTTGGTTACAGATCAGGCAGCATGATTGTACCTTCGTTTTGCCTCAGACTGGTTTCTCTCTGGAAAGATGATTTCATTTAGGTGACCAAACCAATCAGGCTCTGTCATCCTCACCTGTCACCTGCACCTTGAGCCCGCACAGATCTTCCTTTTTGCTAAGGTGCTTGGTGAGGATGTGATGCAGTTCCTGTTGCTGATGCCTCAGGAATCTCTGGAGCTAAAAGTGTCCTGAATGAAAGAGATGAGACTGTATAATATGGGGCTGTAATAATTTGCATTCTTTGTAGGAGGAGCATAGAAAAGCATGAATAGGTATTTTATAGTGTGTTACAATTGCCTGCCTTTTTCTCCAGACTTGTGTTCTTCAGAAACATCATTTTTCACTTGTTCTACCAAATTTCCTGTTCTGTTCCTCAGTACTCATAATTGTTTCCTCATTTTTTATATACCCAGACCGTATCATCTTCCTTTATCCCTCATGAATTATTTGAAGAGATTGTTTCTCTCTTCCATGTAAAGTTTGTCCTTTCATCATTACCTAGACTTGATCAAGCTTTCACCTTCTCTCTTGGCTTGATCCCATGATTTTTAATACATCTTGCTCCATGGAGCCTATGTTGCTATTGCTCTTTTGAGGATGGCCTGTCTCTCCTTCCTCAAACCACTTCTGCTTCCAAGCAAATATACAATTTCTATTTCCCTCTTGAGTTTGTATGTGTTCTGTTTACCTTATTACAGCTATTTTGTCTGTTTCCATCTTTATCGCTTGTCAAAGCTATTCCTGTCCTTTATCTTTTTTCTTCTTTCATCCTCATCATGCACACAACAAGCAATTTTTCTTCATATGGTAAAGCTTGCTGCTTCTGCTCAGCTTTTTGAAGATGAACTACCCGGTAATTATAGAGTCAGAGATTACAGACCTGGGAAGGACTGGCAAAGACTGTCTGGTTAATGACTGCTGCTGCGAGTCAAAATGAATAGTACCCGTGCTATTCATGAAGAACGTTTGTATAACCTGTATGTATTTCCAATCTCACTTTTAAAACTACTTCTGCTTAATTGAAGGTATCAAATTTAATTCCTTAGTTATAGTGTTTGATTCTAATTTTAAGGTGGAGCAAAAAATAGCAGCAATCAGGCAATACTTTATGACTGAATAATGCTACACCTGTGGCATCTGATCTAAAAAGAATCAAACTATCACATAGTCTCTTGAAACAGTTCAGTCTGTTTTTGCTGTATCTCGAACTCTTAAGTCTTTTGGTCAGCTTTAATTAGCATTAGCCTCTTGAGATGTATTGGGAATATCTTGATCTTTGAGACCATCATGTTTAATACATAATGTTACTGAACTGAACTGGAAGGAGAAAGCAGGAAGAAGACAAACATAAAGCTTCAGATGCACAGGTTTCTCTGAGATTTCTTTTTTTGGAGAGCTGCTCATGTCCCTTTGCTTATTCTGAAAATAAATTAAAAAAAAAAAAACACCTGGGTTTTTTATCTTGCTTTCTCACAAGAAGTGAAAAATCAGCTGCTTCATTTCAGTCATTGATGTGGCCAGGAAATACCTCAAGGGCAGAAATACAGATAGAAATGTGTATAAAATAAATTATGTTCCTGCCTTTATTTCCTGGTCTGGTGTAGGGGTTAGATAGGTCTTGTGTTGGAGTATTGCTGTACATGCAGAGATGAGTGTGCACACATCCGTGTCTGGGAAGACTTGAACAAAATACCCAGCCCCTTTCTGTTCTCATCTTTGAGAGGTAAAGCTAATAGGGTTTCAAAAATTAACTTACAAGGAAAGCATCTGCTTTTTTTTTTCCTAATTAGAACAAACAACTTCACTACATGGGCAATTGGCTTAGACCTGTCCTGTTCAATTAACATCAAAAATGTTTAAGATCATTCTAGAAAGGAATCAACTGGGAAATGCTGCAAATCAAAATGGAAATGAGATTTTTGCTCTAGACCAACATCGACATTATACCTACTCCTTCGGGTGAATCCCCATGGGGGGGGTCATTGCAGCTTACTCATGAAGGCTTCTTACTATCAATGGTGAAGGCAAATTTATCAGCTATATTGACTTTTCCCTTTGATAAAAAGAAATCAATCTTTGTTTCTGAAAATATTAAAAAATCTGTAAAGTCTCAGTAATATCTACCTCTTGTCAATAGTGTCTTGTTTCTGAGATTCACACAGTTCTCAGCAAGTTATTGAAACACCATTTGAACAACAGCAGTACTTTCTGTATTTATTAATTAAAGGTATCAGTTTGCAACCAGGCCTGTTAAAAATGAGCAAAATACATGCATCTTGTTACTGAAGTACTATGTTTCAAAATGGCAAAATATTGTCCCTCATTCAATGCAATTTAGTACTGAAAGTAGTCACGATCTTACAAGCTTGTCAAAAAATGAACTGGTGTTTTTCCCTGAATTTCATGTATATGAGGGATCAACTGAAGCACACGTGCTGTGCTACCTGCAGAGCTTCAGATTGCTCTGTAGGCAGGACTGAGCAGCTCAGGAATTCTTTGTTCATTTTCCTTAATGCAAACAGAAACAGCAGTTTTTTTCCTGAGAGTTGTTCAGAAGAGTAAAGTCTGTAAGACTAATGTATTCTTGGTGGGTGAAGTCCAGCTCTGTTAGAGCAGTGGTGGCTCCTCTATGTTCTTTAGATGCTTATTGACCAAATAAAGTTCTAAAAATGCACCACAAGCATTTCTGTCTATGCTGTGTTTAATTAATCTACAGTTCTAGAACTCTCTGTACCAGAGAGACAGAATCTATTGATTTTGCTTCTTGAAGAGAGAATAAGTCTTTGAATAGGAAGTAGTTAATTATTGTTTTATGTTTACAATGGCTGTTCGGGTTTGTTTGCTTCTATTTGCCTTCCTAT